GAATTTCCCGACATATGTAAATAATCGACTTAATCAATAAAAAAAATTGATTTATGAATTATTAAAAGTATTCCGAGTGGATTTATAACACATAATTGAAAAAGAACGAATACGTTAACTCGGAGTATTTTCTAAACACAACTTTTCAAAAAACAATAATTTGTATAATTGAACCAGTTTCCGTGGGACTTTAATGGTTTAGTATGATCATAAAGTCCAAGTACTCTATCGTTATACCAAGTAAATCGTCTAATTTTAATTATAACAAAAGTCAAAAAAAACTATTTTCTCAAATTTTGATGAATTTTCAAAATTAAACTACTTGCCGTAAGGCCGCAATATTTCAGTAAGTTCTATAAAACTATGACATATATCACCAAAAAAAGTTCCACAGAAATCGGCTTAAATTTTTTTTTCAACAGTTAGATCGGTAGATTTTGACCTAAAACTAATCAGTCTCATTCCCAACTAATATCTTTCGAACAGTTTTTGATTTTTTAAAATCGAATCGGTAGTATAGGCCTAAATGTGGACGAAAAGTTTAACAGTTTTTTCCAAATTACACAGAAACGGCTCGGATTCTCAAAATTAAACGACTTGTCGTAGGGCCGTAATATTTTAATATGATCTAGAAGACTATATAGTCTTATCATATGATATCATATGATATCTATCACAAAAAAAAATCATGAAAATCGCCGAAAAAAAAATTTAACACTTTATTACAAGAAAACGGCCCGGCCGATTTTTACCAAAAACTAATCAGCACGATTCCCAACCAATATCTTTCGCACGGTTTTTGAATTTTCAAAATTTCGGAATTTTCGGTATTTTTTCTAGGAACAAATTTATCTTTAAATTCCATAATCGCATAAACAGCTATATCTTCAAGTGATTCTATAGGATACACAAATGTCAAAATATTATCTCAACTCGTCATTAAACTGAATATTTATTGCTTTACTAAGGGATACATATCGTGTTACAATAAATAGAATTTTACTGATAGGTAATGATGTTTGTTTCATCTTATGTAAAAATGTAACAGTTTTTTAAGTGATATTTGCGCCAAAATATTTTATATCATACAGGTCACCCCTGCGTATCTTTATTTTTTTCTAACTTTATAATAATTATGATAATTACTAAATATTTTTGCTTCTTATTACAATTAAAAAATATTATTTTTCGAAAACGTTTCGAAGTTTGAAAATACTATAGAAGCATCACATTGTTTCAAATAACAATACTCAACAATTATATTAACTTATTATTTGCCTCGACAAGGATTCTGATCTTAAATTAGTATAGAAAAAATATTTTTTTAAAATATTGGAATTATGCTAATTTAACACATCGGATACAGACCATACAGTTTATCTTTTATGAGTTTTTGGTCTTTATTACTCATAAGTTTGTTTTTGGTGAAAAGTACTCAATATACTCGATAGTGATAATGAGTTAATTAAATTCGATATAATTTTGTTAAATTATTATTTAAAAAAAAATTTATTGTTTTTATTGTATAGTTGAATATAGTTGTATATACATTTTTTATATTTGTACTAGTAACTTTCAATTTTGTTTACGTTTGTTTAAAATAATAAAAATACCGGTAACTCACCGGTATTCCGGTTTTAAAATGAAAAATTTCCGCTATTGAAATTTTCCATCGGTACTGCATTCCCTAATCGTGAATATGTTATTTTGCTTTCAGACAATCTGTGTGAGTGAATGTAATTTTACTTTTAGTATATGAGTGAGAATAATTTTATTTTTAATTTTAATTTTAGAATATCATAAAATTTTTATCGCTACAATTAATATTAATCACACGTAATTTCTAAATCTTGAATGATATTTCAATTGATATCTGAATCATGTAAAAATAAGAAATACCTTTGGGTTCCGTTGTACTATCAACTGCAGCTTTTGCACTAAATTCAACTTTACCTTCAGAGAGTTCTGAATTATTTAAATCATTATTGTTGTTGTTCAAAGGCCGTTTTTGCGATAATAAGTAAGAGACATTTTTAGAATTTAATAAAACAGGCTCACTATCTTTTTCGGTGTTTGATTCATTATCAGTGGTCTGTATATCATTTGTTTTAAATGATCTTTTTAAACGACGTAATCCTTGGGCATAATCCTCTGAAACGTCAATAAATTATATTACACAATTTCAACAACATTGACGACAATTATTTTTATTGTAAATATAATTGTGCAAAATTTATTTCGAGAGATAATACTATAATTAAAGTATTTGATGTACATAAATACTCAATAGCTTTGCTAATAATTTTGATTGGGTACTTTATCCATGTCTCTTCGTCAAGTATTATTACATCAAGTTCCACCCACTTCATCACCTTATTCTGATCTTTTTTTGGCAGCCATAAACACTTAGAATTATCCTCATTAAGCCAACTAATTGGAACTAACTCTACCATTTTTTTTTATTGTTTTTAGTTTTATCAAATTCCACCACTGCATACATTTTAATATTTTCCGTCATTTTCAAAATTTAGAATACAATAACCCATGTAAGCGCCTGGCGCAATGTTTATTAAAAAAGTCAATTAAAAATCACTACACGCGGACACTTTACTACCTTGAAGGACCAGATATAATTAATTATTTAAAAAGGCTATTAATATTAATTAATTATTTTAAAGGCTGAAATAACAAACCACTGAATAAAAAATAATAACTAGTTCAGAAATTGTTTGTATTTAATTTTAGTTAGTTGTATAAGATGTGATCGGGTCAAGGTACATGTACAGAATGAGTAATTTCTTATAACTAGCTTAGTACTTACAGTAGGGTAGGAAATTATTTTATTATGTCAGGTAGAGAGAGATGGATTAATAAAATTTGTGTTAATGATAAAAAATCTATAGCATAACATATTGAAGCAGTAGCTTCCGAAATAAGTATTTTAATCATAGTTTTATTTAGAGCGTTATTAGCTAAAACTATCCTATTGAATCTAGAACTATCAGTATGTTACAAAATGTATCTAGAGTTTTAGCAGTTCGTTTGTTAAAATAAAGATAAGATATTTTAGAATCATATAGATTTAATTTGTCGTTCCCTAAAAATTTTAAGTTTTGTTTAGTTGTTAGTAATGAAAGTATTTTATTTGCCTCGGTAATCACGTAATATTCTTTAGATAATTTATCGTTTGATCGTGAGTAGTATTTAAAAAATTTAAATCTCTTTAACATAATATGTATATTACCTGTCAGATTTTTATTGTTGTGAAAAGGAATTTTTATACTGAATCGCCAGGTAATTCTCGTAGTATTAGTGGTGAGATTTTGTTTTCCGGTTTGAGGCAGAATTACAAAGTGTAAAAGACTCGGGGTGCGTGTACCCGTTCAAGTCGAATTGAGTAATATGCGAATCAGGTTTATTGTTCTCTAATTTTATGTTTTTATTGTAAAAGGTGTCGTTGTCGATTACAAAATTTGCTTTATTACTTTTCTTAAATGTTGAGTCTGGTAATATCAAAACATCTTAATATGTTTAGGTTCTCAACAATATGAGCAATTTTCCTTCCCAAGTGTATATAGTTTTCCGTGAGTTTTAAAAAGGTTTCCCTAGATGTTTCTATATATGTGATCCACTTTCCAGTTTTCTTCGATTGTCTTTGATAAGTCAGCTTTATTTGGTCTGTTTGGTTTATATTATGATTGTATCCAATCATGTCCTGCAAAATTTCCATACCGTCGTTATATTTTCTAGTCGCGTTCGTAATTATCAGTCTTGGGCTTCTCTGTTTCTTAATGTATACTTCATATTCATTTCCTATTTTGTCTTTCATATGGTATATTAGTGCTAGTTTATTGTATTATTTTATTAAACTAATAAAATAATACAATAAACCTAACAAAATAATACAATGAAAAACTTAACTATTACAATAAACTTAACTAAATATTACAATGAACTTAAATTTATTTAGAGCGTTATTAGCTAAAACTATCCTATTGAATCTAGAACTATCAGTATGTTACAAAATGTATCTAGAGTTTTAGCAGTTCGTTTGTTAAAATAAAGATAAGATATTTTAGAATCATATAGATTTAATTTGTCGTTCCCTAAAAATTTTAAGTTTTGTTTAGTTGTTAGTAATGAAAGTATTTTATTTGCCTCGGTAATCACGTAATATTCTTTAGATAATTTATCGTTTGATCGTGAGTAGTATTTAAAAAATTTAAATCTCTTTAACATAATATGTATATTACCTGTCAGATTTTTATTGTTGTGAAAAGGAATTTTTATACTGAATCGCCAGGTAATTCTCGTAGTATTAGTGGTGAGATTTTGTTTTCCGGTTTGAGGCAGAATTACAAAGTGTAAAAGACTCGGGGTGCGTGTACCCGTTCAAGTCGAATTGAGTAATATGCGAATCAGGTTTATTGTTCTCTAATTTTATGTTTTTATTGTAAAAGGTGTCGTTGTCGATTACAAAATTTGCTTTATTACTTTTCTTAAATGTTGAGTCTGGTAATATCAAAACATCTTAATATGTTTAGGTTCTCAACAATATGAGCAATTTTCCTTCCCAAGTGCATATAGTTTTCCGTGAGTTTTAAAAAGGTTTCCCTAGATGTTTCTATATATGTGATCCACTTTCCAGTTTTCTTCGATTGTCTTTGATAAGTCAGCTTTATTTGGTCTGTTTGGTTTATATTATGATTGTATCCAATCATGTCCTGCAAAATTTCCATACCGTCGTTATATTTTCTAGTCGCGTTCGTAATTATCAGTCTTGGGCTTCTCTGTTTCTTAATGTATACTTCATATTCATTTCCTATTTTGTCTTTCATATGGTATATTAGTGCTAGTTTATTGTATTATTTTATTAAACTAATAAAATAATACAATAAACCTAACAAAATAATACAATGAAAAACTTAACTATTACAATAAACTTAACTAAATATTACAATGAACTTAAATATTCCAATAAACTTAACTAAACTTAAAAACTAATCCTTTCTTCTGGTCTTCTCTTCGTTCCTGGTGTACCGGTCCTGTGCGTGACGAAGCAATCCTCTATTGTAATCTCCTACCTGAGCCTCCGACACTTTAATTTCCTTAAAAACCATTTCAACTACAATCTCTGAAATCATTGTTGATTTAAAAAAATAATACAAATATTTTAGGTAAAGAGTTTCATTATTTACTATTATAAGAACATCATTATTACCTTTTATCAATTTAACAAACAGCAGTACTGAAAAAATCTTCTTTCCTTTGCTCCCAGCCCAGCTGTACTCTTTGGCAACCACATCAATAAATATAATCTTGCATAATGAAACAGTTGCCACTCTTGGACAATGTCCGCCAATATGCGCAAACCGTGTTTTCTTAAAATAAAAACAGCATATCATGTGTACATACTCGTTATACGATCCATTTTGAATAAGTATATATTTACCAAACTCCGTTTTGTTGTGTCAGTTCTAAATTCGAATTCGAAGAGAAAATAACTTCGATGATCTTACCCTTGCAATATGAGATTTTAAAACAACTTGCTATTTACGACTACATAAAAAAAAACTGAAACATACTCAGAAAAACGATTTCCACGAAACAAAACTTAACATGTATCTGGCAATTATCATAGATTTTATAGAAAAAAAAATTATTTTATGTATTGGTGTTTACGAAAATGGTTATGAATAACTGAATACGTTAAATTGCATTTTGCTTTTAGGCAACTTGCGCATGAATTTCCCGACATGTGTAATAATTAAATTAATCAACCAAAATTAAAATTTTGATATTTAGATAAAACTTTCAACTGTTTATTTTGAAAATAAAGTTTTGCTTTCAATTAAAACTTTGACACAATTTTTTAATATTTTTTCAAACTTTGATGATTATAGGCTTAATCAAATTAAACGACTTGTCGTATTCTTTAGGACCATTATATCTATCAACATAAAATATTTTATAGAAGGAATTTGATCTTCACCAAAAACTAACCAGTATCTAAAACAGTTTAAGAATATTTTTGCGAAATACATACTTCTTAACCCATACAGCACATGGTTGACATAGGGTCACAATGGGCTGTAGGGTTATAAGTATTGAATGATATATGGACGCAACTGAATTGATTTATTTGAATATCGGCAGCATTGTATTTAATGCATTATTGCGCATTTGTTAATTGTGATACGACTTGTTACTTATTGACCACGAACAAGGATGGGTTGTATACATCTCGATGAATTTTACTGTGAAATTTTCTGACTCCATATCTACAAATCCATAAAAATTAACAATAATTGTTCAGAATGTGCTAATTATAAATGAATATACTACTAAAAACTAATATGTACCTATATTTTCTTCGGCAGATTTATAGTTTTGCACTAATAGAACTTAATCCCACGATTATAATAGTGATACTAAAATAATTTTAAGCAATGTTTTCTATATATATCCCAGTAAACAAAATTACATATAAACAATATGGATACAACATTGCGCCACGCCGCAGTCATTTTTGTTGCATAGAACGCTAAACGAGCGCCAAGTAATGTCACATTTGCGATTTTTGTCGCGACATTTGCTATTTTTGTAACACGTTTAATCGCATGTTGAACTGATGTTGATGAAACATGAAAACAACGTAATTGTGTACAATAACCCAATATTAATAAATTAATGCTTTAGAATATTTAATTGGCTAATAGTCCTTTTATTCAGAAATTATTTATTTATGTAATATCGTTACAAATTTAATTTAATATTTACAAAGTTTCGATATCAATTTATGAATTAAGTTATAAATTTACAAAGAACTTAATTACTAATAGTATTATCTAAGATTTACATCGAGTATTATTGAACAATTTAGTACATGGAGTAATATAGAATTTGATAAATTTATGAAACATGTGACGAATAATGATCAAAACATTTCAAGTAAGACATTTTTTGGCATGAAGGACAATATATTTATGCTGAGATAATGTTAACTTTTTTCCTTTCCCTTCTGTAGGACCCCAAAAGACTCATCATCTTTTGTTTAACTTCGCTCATAGTTTTTTGGAGCATGTTTGCGATTTCCTCCCAAGCATCGTCTTTGAGCTTCTTATTGCGATAATGCGGGTTTTTAGGGTTCCACAATAAATTTTTCTCCTGGTACATCTTAATTAGAAAAATAACATCTTCTCTAATCATATCCATTTTAAAAATTGTGGTAAGTCAAATAGCTCAATGCCTTCACTGTACAACTGAACTTATACCATAGCACAGATCACATTACGTACAAGTTCAAAGAAATAACGGATACGGATACAAAATGCAGGCTGACCAACAATTATCAGTTTTGAATAAAAATTATTAGATCTGTTCTAAATATAATTCTAAATGCTTGTTCAAAAAAGACTTTGAACAAAAATTCAGTCTGCATGTTAACAAGATTTTGATCGATAATTTACGCTAATTGCAAATAATACAATATTACCATTTCTTGTTTGGAAACATTTAATTTATTTTTAATTATGAATATATCATGCGTAATATAATTAGTAAGGGTATATATATATACTAGCTGACCCGGCAAACTTCATATCACATAAATAATCATTAATAAAATTTAATTAAATCTTGTATATGAAATAATTAACACATTTGGTTATGAATGCGAAGCTTTCATATATACTATATTTTAATTCTCAAAAATACCTATTTTTTATATTTCATATATAAAATATTTTATACATTTGCTTAAGAATCGAATGTTTTGGAATCAATATAAAGCTTTTTTGTAGACAATATTTTTGGTCTTTTTTGCGGTGCGTAAATGAATAAGGATTATGGTTTCCCGACGCGCAAACACGCAACGTATAATTGGCCCTGTGCGAAACTCCAGCGCCTAAAATCAAATCATAAATCCGTTGGGATCATAGTTATTCGCGGGATCATCTTGTCCCTTGTATTTTTTTAATGATTTTTGCCACAATTACATTATTTATTAGCTTTTTTACAACCAATCTTGTTTCATTGCATAGTATGGGCTGATTTAAATTACGTAGCATGATGACAATTGATCCTACTTTCAATTGTAAATTATGTGGTGGCAGCCCAGGCAATTTTAATGAATTTAGAAATTCTGTAGGATAGTTGAGTATGTCATCCTGATTTGTAGCGGTGTCTACAGATTTATAAGTAAAGCATTCTCCTGGAAGTAAACTTTGTATTGTTGCATTAAGATCATCGGCATCTTTGTTTTTCGCCGCCAATATTGCTCGTTCGCTCAGCCAATTGAGATCGTGAAATTGTTGGTTTATATCTGGAAATACGCAAGCTCCTCTTTTGTGTTTGTGCAGCTGCAAAACTCTGCGGGAAATGTTATTAACCCGTTCGAGGCATCAACTGCGACATTACCATTTCCAATATTTAGTAACTGCTTTGAAAACACTTTGCTGTTTCATCTTGTTGCAAAACCACTCGCATGTTTGTTGTTAACTGGAGTTTCTTAACATGACGCCACAGATTTGATGATTTTAAGCTTGCGTTTAGTTCCTCAGCAACACTTGATTGTGGTATAACTGGAAGAGTTTGGCGAAAATCACCTGACAACAAAATCATTGCTCCACCAAAAATATTTTGATTGTCACGTAAATCTTTCAATGTTCTGTCCAGTGCTTTCAGTGACCTCTTGTGGGTAATTGTACATTTATCCCAGATAATCAATTTGCATGTCTGAAGTATCTTGGCCATGGCGCTAGTTTTTCTGATATTGCAAACTGGTATTTCATCGATTTGCATATTAAGAGGTAACTTCAATGCTGAATGTGCAGTTCATTCACCTTCTAACAATGTTGCTGCTATTCCTGATGATGCCAATGCTAGAGCTACGCCATTTTGCGATCTGATCTTTGCCAATAGCAATGATAACAGGAATGCTTTTCCAGTACCACCAGGAGCATCAAGAAAAAAAAAATCCCTCCAGATCCGCTTGTATCAAATCATCATATACAATCCTTTGATGATCATTCAACTTTGGAACAGCTGTGCGAACTATTTCGGTCAATGTTTCAATATCATACTGTTGCTCTCTTCTTAACTCATGGTTAAATGCATATCGAACACAACGGTTTGGTGCTGTCAGGTCCAAATATGATAATACTTTATTTGCTGTCAATAAACACATATCCTCTATTATGATCAAAGTTTTATTATAAATTTCTGTAGTAATTTCAGAATGATCAGACATGTCATCTCTGTATTTGAGCCACAAATATTTTAGATTTGAGGGAAAACATGTTGGAATTATAATCGCAAACAATGTACACACATGATGCGGAGATGAGGATATGATGTCGTCCTTGAGCTTATTATCCCAATGGGAATCGTTTCCAAGCAACTGTAACATGTGACATGCTTCACGGTACGTTGCACATAGATATTCATCAACCGTTTTCAATTGTTGAAATAATGTCGGTCTAGGAACATTAACCAATAATAACCTAAGGCAGTATCACTCATCATTATTTGGATGTACTGTATAAATGGGCCCTATAGCACATGTAGCAAACACATTTGGATATCCTTCAACCGGTGTTCCTTTTTTACGACGTTAAAACGACTTTGATGCTGAACTGTAATAACAATTCGAATCATTATTTTGTTTAATAATTACAAAACGCGTTGCTAGTTATATGTAGGTTACGTGGTCACCGGAAGTGCTTACTGTTGGATTTTGTAAATAGGTTGTAAACAAGAAATTAGTATATAAGAGTTAGACAAAAGTTAGACAGTCAGTCAAGCTTGGAGTCAAACTTGGAGTCAGACTCGAGACAGACATAGAGTTAGTCAGACATAGTAATTAGTAAAATGTAGTCTTTGCTGATATGATAACCAAAAGGTTATTAACAAATATTAATTGTAAAAATAGCGAATAATAAAGTATCATTCAAAGAAAGAAGTGTGTTTACAAATTACTATCAAATCGCTGTTCGTTCTAAAGGCATTTCACACTACCAGTGGACTCTAGGGAGTCCACATCACAAATAGAATATTTCAACAACTATTCAAGTATTCACCGCTCGGGTCCAGCCTATCATTACAATTCCTGGTCGTACTGGTGATCCAGAACATACATCTAAAGGCATCACAAACCAGCCTAGGAGACTTTACAGCATACATCAAAGTATGGGCTAAATCATCTCTTTGACAAATTGAAAATAAACTTGTTAATGTTTTTGGAGGTTAACTGGGGCAAGTGGACTACAGAAGGGTGTCTTTCATGTATTGGAAAAGAAAAAATTCGCCAAATTGCTCCATTGTTACTTCCGTAGCGACCCATCTGATACTCAGAAACTTTATAATTTGTTTTAGCAACAGCGAACATGGCCATGTAATACCTTTGTTAACATATTTGCATATATATTTTATTAACTTGACAGAGTTACAAAATTCTACTTTGATGTGTGCTTGAAAAGCTTTGGATAATATTGGGAAGTACGGCACAATCCATCGGTTGTCAACATAAAAATCTTGTCCTTTTACTTTCACAACTACATATTGCCCACCATCCGCAACTGATTGCCTACGATACAGTGGATAACCATCATTTCCAGTAATGGTTTCAGCAGTTAGATTTCTCGAGTTATTGTTGAAAACTCCGCAAAGTCCATATATCATATGTTTAGTAATTATTGCTTGCACATTTGGATCAACATTTTTATTAGGAATCTGAGCTGATATGACCGAATCAATATCTTCAGGCCTCATTTTGTCAATAAGCCAGGCTAAGATGTGCGCATGAGGAAGACCACCCATTTGCCACTCAACAGAGTACATCCAGCAACGTACTTGGCCATATACATGATTTATTATCAAATTCAACAAATATTTTAAGTTTTGTTTAAAAAATCTGCAGTAAGTAATTTCATGACTATCTCTTAGAGTTTGGTCGTGTATCAATTCTTTTTAATTTCTATCCATTGCGGGTTACATGTGAATGTAATGAATAGATCAGGGCGACCATATTTCTAACGTATGTCATTGCATCTGTGCGTACTCGTGCATGTGCGCGGGCTTCCAATGTAGGTAGCCGGCAAAATTGTCATTTTACCCACATTGTTTGCATTACCATCGGCAATAATAGCATCATGAAGATGGATGTTTTTTCAGACGAAGGTGCTGTTGGTTTAAGCGGATGTATGTTAATCGCTCAGTCACAATTTTGACATACTGCCAACAGCGAACTGTTGAAAAAGTCGTTGACAAAATGAAAATGTGGATTATTTCACAATCATCATCAGCCTATGAATAAAAACTAGCATTAGCAATTTCAATTACTACTTTAGCCCGTCATAAAATTTCGAATGAACTGCGCATTCTCATAATTTCGTTTTGTATACACGTCGGATT